ATAATAATAGAAGTATGATCGAACAAAGTAAAAGTAATAATAATGAGAGCATAACTAAGTATAAAAAAAAAATTGCTGATACTATTGAGTTTGTAAGCAAGATAATTCATGAGAAAAAACTCTCAGAAACTGAGAAAGTATATTATACAGCAACTTTATATTTTCTCTGATTGTTATTTAATGATTAAAAAAAAATTGAAGCTTTAGAGATAGTTGTCAAGGTAGTTGGAGGTAGATCTTGGTTCACAAGGTGTGTTAGAAAATGAGCAAATATTTGTATAAAAGGTATGTTTTTATTTTTATTTTATTATTAATCAATTTTTTTTTATCATTATAAATTAATAACTGTTTTAACATAATTGCAGAAAAGTTGATTTAGCACTTTCATGGCAAGTTCTTTTCAAAAAGCTTGCTTAACGATGAATTAGTCTCATTTAAATTGGCTGTTTACCTCTGTTCACAAAAGTTTAAGATAAATCTAACAATAGTTAAAAACTATATTGAACAACAAATTATCTTACAATTGGGTATTAATTTTGTATAACAGATCTCTCTTCAAACAGCCCACAGATGGTTGTATAAGCTTGGTTTCTGTTATAAATAGTATAAAAAAGGTGTTTATATTAATAATCATGAACAACCAGATATGGTTGCTTATCGCCAAGTCTTTCTTTAAAAAGTTAGTGAATTAGAATGACTTATATTCAAATAATATAATAAAGATTGTAAAATCAGAACTTACTTACTATTAGTTGGTAAAAAGAAGAAACATGCCTGGGTACCTCACAATGAATCCATCTTCCATGTTAATGATAGACTATATGCAATGTAGAGCCCAAAAGAGAAGCAATCATTAAGAAAGAAAGAAATAGGCCTTGGTATATATATTAGTAATTTTTTAATAGAAATAATTAGACTACTTAGAGATAAACTTGAAGAGATATGTGTAATGATGGTATTAGGGTTATGTCATGATGGATTTTGGAATACAAAAAAGCTTATTAGTCAAGTTAAATGGGCAATAGATATTTTTGAAAGAACATATCCAGGATGTGTAGATAGGATAGAAAATATTAAATTAAAAAATATTTTTTTTAAGTCTTATTATACTGTAAAATAAAAAATTTATTTTATTTAATAAAAGTAATCTAAAAATATTTTACAAATATTTATATCTTATTTTTGTTTATAAGTCTTTTTGCTTTTGACAATACCACAGCTTATACAGCTTTTGCCAAAGATACCTTTGTATCATTAAAAATAAACCTTTTTTCAGGTAGATCAGTTCCAAAAATGCAGAATACAGTGTAGAATAGAAGCTGATAATCAATAGTAATTGAAGAAGATTACTTTATTTATAATAATAAGACAAAGTTGTATATTAATTTGTGTAGTTAGCCAAAAGAGCTCAAATAGGTTCTGAGCAAAAGAGAACTATGGTGAGAAAGAATAGTCTTAGAATGTTTTTTGTACAAAAAGGAGCCAAACTCTGATGTTGTTGATTGTTGTACATGCTGTTTGATGGCTAATCAACCTGATTTTCTTGCACAATATAGTCAATTTTAGCAAAAAATAGAATCTTGTAGGTATAAAATAACTTATTTTATTTCTTTTTTATTTCTTTATTTTATTTTATTTATTTATTTTCTAACTTATTTACTTATTTTTTTCAATTTAATTTATTTGATTTTTTTTATTGTTGGCTATTTTAGATCATATTTTATTCCAAGTTCTACTCCGAATTTAACCATATTGAAATATATTGGGAGCTGCCAAAAAGTATACTTGGAATAATTGTAAATATTTTTTTCTAATGCTTAGATAAATGATTATTAAGTCTTTTGACTCTATTCTGCTTAAAAGAATTTGTTCATTTGCTAGATTGTTATTTAGATGAATAGATGCCTATTGATATGGTTTGACAAGAAAAGCTACAAAATATGTAGTGAGAAAATATAAAAAGTATTGATCAATTAATGAAAATATTATGAATCATGTTAATGCAATTTAAATTAGAATTTGGAAAAGCATTTTTTTTTTGTTTAGAATAGTCTTATATAATAAGACTGAAGTTTTATTAATAAATTTGGCTTATTAATACTGTATAAAAGTAATTAAATACAAAGTAAACAAATATTAAATGAATAATAATAAATGAAATCAAATAAAATTTAGTTGTACATGCTTAACTAGAATTAAATCTATATTGATATATTAGAGCTAGATTTTAATTATGATTATATTGAAGTGCTTTGAAGATATTAAAAAACTAGATAAAAATTTAAAGACTTGTTATTGCCACCCCTATTTTTGTTAATGCCACTCCCAAATATCAAAAAGTGCTCTAAAAAAGATATTTCTATTAAGTAAATTTTTATTTTGATCTTAATAAAAGTTGTTCATTGGGCCTTTCTAGTTCTAATAATAGTAAAATCATTAAAATCGGGCTAGTAGTTTTTTTTTAAAAGTAAACAAAAGTTAACTAACTTCGGATATATATATCTTAGGAACTACTAATTCAATTTTAATGATTTTACTACTATTAGAACCGGAAAGGCCTGATGAACAACTTTTATTAAGATCAAAATAAGATTTACTTAATAGAAATACCTCTTCTGGAGCACTTTTTGATATTTGGGGATGGCATTAACAAAAATGAGGTGGCAATAACAAGTCTAATGTAATAAAACAATGCTTGAAATAAATTTAAATGAATTTTACTTATTTTATTAAAAGCAGGTCAATTATATGTATCATATGAGTATCGCCAAGGGAAAACCTGTCATCGGGCTTTCAATTATATTTTGTACCAACATATTCCCTAAGAAATCAAATAGATTTTGTCCGGTACAAAATATAATTAAAAGCCCGATGACAGGTTTTCCCTTGGTGACACTCATATGCAAAACATCGATTTATATTGTGTAATTGCAAAAGTAATTTTAACAAGTAAAACTAGCTAGATTAGTAAATTTGTCGCATCTCTAATTATAAATTAGATAGTTTATGTTGTCCTTAACTAAATTTGGCGCTTTTAATAAAAAGTGGATGTTTTATATTGTTTTTATTTTAAATTTGGTGCTTTAATAAATAGTGGATATTTTATGCTGTTCGGTACTTATAAAAAATACTAGGAGCGGAGTGATATGCAAATATCACGAAGTGTATAGTTATGTGGCGAATTAATGATGTGTGTCCACAAAATCTTGCATTTTATTAGTTGTGGAATGAGGCGAAGCAGGGATATGAATGCATATTGGAAATATCGCATGTTACATCTTTGCGTGCCTATGTAATGCTTTGCTTATGAAATTTTTCCTGATTAGTGTGGTACATATGGATGACTTGCGTAAGCTATAGTGTGGAACATGAATCAGGTTTAGTTAATTATGTGTTCATGTAAATATGTTGCATTTAAGCTGGCTCGAATTTAATGTCTCAATAATCTTTACAGTATATATTCTTCAGATAGACAAATAACAATGAATTACTTTGTGATTGTTCGAACTTAAATTGGTATGCTTATTTCTTACCTATCATTTATCTGGTTTGAATGTGCTAGATAATGATTTGCTGTAAAATATCCTTTAGAATTAACATTTGTATTACTATAAAAGTAAGTATTATACTATTATGGAAAGAGATCCAATTTACGAAGATCTGATTACTATTTTTGTATTATTGCTTTAAACACCTATCGCTAACGCTTTTCATGCATTACTTTTACATTATAAACAATGAACTATTTGAATATGACATTGTTAAAACAATGCTTTTAAAATCATTGTTTTACATAATTCTGGAAATGTATAAGCCATGTTCATTCTTTAAACAAATTATCATTAAGGAAATTAGATAGTCCAGCTCCTAGCAAATCTATCGTAAACCAGCATGGAAACAGGTTTTATACCTCTATCGGAGCCCTATTTAATTCTAGCGTAAAAAAAAAATAAAAATCTAAACGTTTACTTATTTGGTTTAAATTTGCCAATTGGAGTATCTATTTATTAAATAATCATTCGATTTGTGAATTTTTGGAGTAAAAATACCAATTTAGTTTATAGCCATATCATATAAGATACTAAAAGACAATACCTGTTCTTATATGATTATTTAGTTATTAAACCAATTCTAAACTAGACCTAATCTAGGCTCAGCCTGACTCTATTTACCACAGCATTAGTATATATCCATTCATAGTATCTTCTAAAAAAACATTCTGTAATTATAGTGCTTTGCAAAAAGATGTACCCTTATGATTTTTGTAATGATGAAAGAGTAAAATTTCCGAGATTCTAGATTGTCTATTAATTCATATTTTTTATTAGTTATATTTATATTTATTTGAAACTGATAAGATTCTTAAAATCAACAGAATCTCCGATTTTCATGTGACATTGTGATCTGCAGAGGTCACATCTTTTTGCAAAGCGCAATAATAGTGATGGTAGTAGAGATAAATAAACAATCCCTATATAGTATAGAAGTTTAAATGCAATTACTATTAACTTTACATGGTAAGAATATATTTAGAAGTTAAATAAATTATGAATTTACAAATTTGGAATTGTTTTCAAATAGGTATAATGCATGTATTAAAATCATATAATTTATCTTATAATTCGAATAATATATTTACTTTGTGCATGTATTAGGTAAATAGTTCTAAAATCAATTTCCTTTTTTCTACCGTGTAATGATACAATCAATTATGGATATTCAAAATAATCTACTAAAATCATACAAATTATTTTACAATTTGAAGAATGTATTTACTTTGTGCTGAGATTTGTAGATATTAATAAAATATGTTCTTTGTACAATGTGTAATTGTTCACATCCTAAAATCAATTCTATGATTATTTGTTAAAGCTTGCTATTACTTTACCTGTATAAAAATTAGAGCAAAGTTTATTGTATAAATATAAGGCATTTGAGCATATATTTTTTTATCCTTTTGTGATTAAATTGTAATCATATTATACTCACAAATTCAAAAAATGGTCTCCCACCTTTCGCTTCTCATTGTTATTATTACAGCAAAAAATAGTCCCACATACTCATCCGGTCTTGCGAAATATAAAATTTCTCAAGAATTATCTCAAACAATTAAATTCAAATATTTCTTCTTTACGAATCAATCACCTCAAATATTTACAAATAGTGATATTGTATTTATTGCAGGTAAATACATTGTTAAAAACTCTGAACTATGCTTTACAATTACATATTCAAGCATTGTTGATAGTAATAATCCAAACTGTGAGTTTGATGCATCTGCTCTTTCTGTATGTATACCTTATTGTATATACTCAGTGGTAGTCAATCGAGAACCAAAAGAGGTTACAGACTTTATTTATTTTGATGCCGAGACCATTGAATATAATTCTGTTACTAGTAAGTCTGATGTCAAAATGGATTTGACTGTGATTTATCCTTCCCAATCTTCTCGGTTTAAATATTTAGGCCCTTCGGGTTCAAATATTAAACTATGGTCTACATATTTTATATCAGGTCTCTTTAAATTTTCTAAAACCAGAAAAATGATAATTGAAGCTACTGATATCGATTATCTAAAAACTTTATCTATCAATATTATCACATCTGAAAGCTTTTCTTTGATGGTATCTGATAAGCCATCAATTATTGATATTATTGATGATAATATCGATTTGACTGTCACCCAACCAAAGCAACGTGTTAAATCTTCTTCAAGTTCTCAAGATATTAACCAGCCGTTTGATACAAATATTCACAATCAAAAAACTGCAGAATTAGATGAGGATGCAAATTTACAAGATGATATTGAAGATCTTGATGAAGAAGCTCAACCTAAAAAAAAAAGAAAGTTTGCTAGAGGAAAACTAAATGAAAAAAGTAAAAAAGTAGGGAAAAAATAGAAAATGTTAAATAGCTTAACTAGTAAATCTATAGTTTACTTATAACCTTTTTAAATAAGTTTGATTATATATATGAGATCGACCATTGTTTATGAATAAATAGATACTTAGTGCATATACTATATATAATATATAATATTGTTAGACCAGACATTACAAATTCTAATGATGTTTGTTTTATATAATTTGTAGGACACTTAAATGTATCGAGAAAATTTAATTAAATTAGATATTAAGTGTGTGTAACCCGTGATTACCAATTTAAAGTCAAAGAGTACCAGTACTCAATTCATTCAATCGATCTAATAATTGAGTTTATTTGTGCTATTTAATATACAATTCACAAAGCCACTTAAGTTTCATATTCTGCTTAGTAAACGATAACATATTTTACCTTTTTTATTGAGATCTATTCGTTATTTTACAAACTTCAATGGCTTATTTTAAATACTTAAATGGATAATATCATAATATTTATTATATTTGCTTACTGATCGTTATAAGCAGTGGCTTTCCAATTTATTCATACGCAGTATATCAATTGAAGAAACTTTGAATATAAAAAATTAATTGATTGCATACAAAAAAAAAAAAATTAATACTTAAAAATACTTATTGCTTTAAATTGGTTTCGCAAGAATATCTTGGACATATATTTACAAGCTGATTAAATAGGATCAATCAGAGAGTAATTAATTCAATTAATGATGTATGATATATGCCTGTGAAAGTCAAAAAAAAAGCTTGTAATTAATGATATAATGACGTAATTTAGAGTCAAATGGGGTATATAACTAGAATGTGGATAAAAAAAAATTTTCCTATTTCTTTCACTTTAAGTTTGCATATGATACTATTAAAATCGATGAACCCTTGATTTCGTACTATTATTAAACTATTGTAAGCTGACGCCTTTGCTAGTGAAATAATATTATAATTAATGTAATTAAATACAATAATCCTCTCTGAAAAATTTGTCACTGAATTTAAATTTCAAATATACACAGATTTCTTTAATTACAGTAACTGGATCAAATTCTAGACTATTATATTCAATAAAGATATAACATGTTAGATCTCTTATAGAACAGTATATGAAAGATAGTATATGCATATGATAGTTTATAGTAACTAACCTTTTAATTAAAAATTTTATATCAATATTGTTTATTCTTAATTTAGTTTGTACCATTTTATTGTCATTTGGTTATTAATATTTCTATTCTCATTTGATAGATATTTTATCATTTGTACGAGCTTGTGATGGATTCTCTTGTTAATTACTTCTTTTGTTATAATATGCGTTAGTATTAATTAATTAGCATATCAATATTTAGCATGCAAAGAATACAAATTCATCTAAAATAACCTTACCCAAAATTTACCTATTACTAAATTGGAAACATTCATAATGTTTGGGCTGAAATCAAAATACCTGTTTTCAATCTACTTTATACTTAAATAAGTTATGCTAAAATCTGGACTTTACCTGCTACTATAATTCATCTATCCCAAATTGGGAATGTAATTTCAAAAGAAGATTATTAAATGATACTAGCTATATATAAATATGCATTGACACTTCTAGAACCTACCATAATCAGAATAAAATAATATTAAAGAATATTCATTCAAAATAATTTAATAAAGTGAACTAGATTTGGTAATTTGTAATAAGAAGCCTTATAATTCTTTACTTCAAATTATTCTTTCGTAAGTTCAGACGAAAAATTATAAAAAGAGTGAAACATGAATGGCAGACAATAAAATTTTGACATATCCTAAAATTTCTTATTATAAAGAAATACTCTTAATTTTTATATTTCACCATAATAAACTAAACTATGGTCGACATTGTAACTAGAGGTGAATCTAGAAAAATAAAAGATCGCAAATGAAAAGCTGCCAAACGTAAAGACTATTTTTTTCAGAAATCTGAAAATAATAAAAATAGGATCAATATAGCTAACCGCCGTAAAAATGAAGAATACGTTCAGGAATCTAATATAAGGCAGAAAAATCACCAAAAGCTAAAAAGATTTGAACCCTGTATAACAAGCTATCAGTTAGATGAATTAGACATTCCTTTGTGTGTTCTAGAGATGGACAAAGAATTTGAGAAAACAGCTAAAAAACATGTTATGTGGCCTCAACAGATTGATCCTGAAATAGCAAAAGATGCATTAGCTGAATTTCGTGATAACATAAATCTTAAAGAATTACACGAATTACTATGCGCTGTTTGCTCGGGACTTTACAATTACAAAAGCTACAAAATAATCTTTGTGGATGAGATTAATCTTTCTCTACTTAGATCACTGCATGATCTTATTGAACCATCATTTAAAATTAATTTTAATTATGAACACTCTTGTATTGATAGTAACTTAAAAATTCTTCTAGATCGATCTGGTTTTGTATACCAAAATAATCATAATTCCACTAACTGTCGTGATCTCTTTACTTTACGAACTTGTAATACCTGCTATAATTGTTTAAAAAAAAATAAACTTCCTCTGTTATCCTTAGCTAATAACATGTGGTTTGGACCTACGTCTTTATATCTTCAAGAATTAACCATACCAGAGCAACTCCTTATCTCACCCGGTTACTTATATATGAATCTTATTCAATTAACAAAAAGAAAGCATACCCATCATAAACTTAAAGGTTATGTTATCACATTACTACAAATTCCTAGCTCATTGCTTAATATATTACCTTTACCTATATATCGGCTTTCCGAATATTTAAAAGTAGTTTTTGTCAGAAAAGGATCCCTTACTAATTATCAATTAAAAAAAGTACTTCAAGTTCAGAAAAGTAAGGTATCAATAGCACTTAATTGGTTATTTTCCCACAATAAATTATTTAAAGATAAATTCAGAATTGATGAAAATGCATTAAACCTTTTGCCAGAAGGTGAAATTTCAGAATCCTTATTATTAACCACCATGGTTGTAGATATTGACTCTTGGGAAACAGAACACTATACTGGTTATGCTCAAGAAGCTTATCAACAATCTGATAGTGAAACTGATGATGAGGATGATTCTGAGCATAATTTAAACAATTTTATTAATAATAATACAATTAATAATGCAAGTGAACTTAGGCTCTCTGGAATATTGCATATTGATGATGTACCCATTACTAAAAAAGTACTTACTCTGCTTTTGCTTCAAAAATTGGTAGAAAAATCTAATCAACGTTCAAGTAACCAACACTCTTCAAATGAAAGGTGTAATAAGGTTAATCATCTAATCTGTGTACCCCATGGTAACAAACCTCTGAATGAATATGAGGATCCGTCACTTTTTTCTGCTGGATTTCCTGTTCTCTATCCTTATGGTGTCGGGTCATGAAGGCAGACAAACATGTGTATCGTTAAAAAAATATGCTAATTACCTCATGCGTCACTATGATCCCAAGTTCAGGCAGCATAGATCATTTCCTTTCATTATATTTAACGTTTTGCAATGACGAGAAGTGTTAACTGAGTCCTATAATCTAACTCAAAACAAAAACTTTGATCGTTCGACTAGATTAATATCTAATCTCAATTTACATGATATAAAACTGGCTATTAAACAAGAACAAAAAAAACAGCATATATCTAATCCTGCTATTCATGAGCTACTTAGAAATATTAATGCTGCTGGTTCTAAATTAATGGCCTCTCACCAATCGCGTGCTCGTATGCGTAATAAAATCTGCGCTATTATTGTGCATGATGGTACACCTTTACTCTTTATTATAATTAACCCAGCTAATCTCCACAGTCTTATTGTAATGATGTATACTGGAAACAAAATTGATATTGAAAAACTTACCCCTGAAAATTTTCCAAAAGCTTCTAAAAGAGCTCGACTCACTCATCTTAATCCCTCAGCCATTGCCAAATATTTTTTTTTTTTTTTTTTAATATTAAAGGTGACCACTTAGGCCATTGGCATGAGCTTTATTTCGGATAGTTACGAT